GACGAGACGTTCAATGTATTGATTGGTAACCGGAAATGGATTCTCAAACACGACATCGAAGTGGACGAAGAGGTGGACCGCGAGATGACTGCACTCGAAGAGGACGGGCAGACAGTCTTCTTGTGCGCCATTAATGGCCGACTGGTGTCCACTCTGGCGGTGGCGGATCCCATCAAATCGGAGGCGACGCTAACCATATATACGCTGAGGAATCGGTTGGGTTTGGAAGTGATTCTCCTGACGGGCGACAACCTGTCGTCGGCCACAGCCATCGCTCGCAAAGTAGGCCTCAAACGGGTCTTCGCCGAAGTGTTGCCTTCGCATAAAGTGGCGAAAGTCAAGGAATTCCAGCGGAAAGGCATGAGAGTAGCGATGGTCGGCGACGGTGTCAACGACTCGCCCGCCTTGGCTCAGGCGGACGTCGGCATTGCCATCGCCAACGGCACGGATGTGGCCGTCGAGGCGGCAAACATTGTCTTAGTTCGGGTCAGTTGTGGTCATCACGTGATCACCCGATCGGTACTTCTTGTGACTAAACGTGTGTTTCATTTGTCTCTTCAGAACGATTTGTTGGATGTCTTCGCGACCATTGATTTGTCGCGAAAGACTGTCCGTCGGATTCGTCTCAACTTCGTGTTCGCCATCGTCTACAACGCAATCGGTATACCACTCGCCGCCGGACTCCTCCTGCGATGGGGTCTTATTCTGCAGCCATGGATGGGGGCGGCGGCGATGGCCGCCTCCTCTGTCACTGTCGTCTGTTCCTCACTATTGCTCCGATTATACCGAAAGCCGACGCGAAGACAGTTGGAAACCAATGAATACCACAAATACTTAACACGTCTTAACATTCACAACGACTTGGACTCACTTTCGCTGCATAGGGGGGAAGACATCGATAGAAATAGACATCAGTTTCACATCAAATCCTAATTTAATTTTCAGATATATTTAACAGAAATATGTTTTCAATTGTTTTCCAAAACAGTATTTATTATAATATTTAATTCGATTTATTCGTATTTTTAAGTCCAGAATAATTCATTTATTTTTAATGTAATGAATGGAGAAATAAATAAAATGTATTCAGAATTCATACCTTATCTCAAGAATTGGTTGAAAATAACCCCTCGAACTAACTATATGTTGTAAACCGGAATTTTAGGGGAATTATTCCGGTTTGACAACTGGGGATTCTGTAGTTGAGCCAACCAATGGGTGTATGCGCCCGTCGACTCAATTACTCCGTTACAGATATGAAGGGAAATATGAAGTTTTTATCCGCCTTCGTCTGCTCAGTGGATAAAAATGGGAAAATAATATGTTTTCTCCGATCGGAGTTTTGCTGTTATGAGTAGTCATGGATTTATCCGTAGATTAAACGGATATACGGAGTCAATGGAGGATTTCTCCAATGGACGCAAATATTTAGGAATTAAACGGATATTAGACTATTGTTTGCACTATGAGGATAAATGCAAATCACCGATAGACAGGATATGATTCATGTGTTCAAGACCTGTGAACCATGGGGTGGCGGCTGAGCTATCGCATCAATGAGACCACAATTCCAGGACTTCTTATAGGGGTTTCGACAGAAGTCATAAATGGACGAAAAGGGCTTCAGATTGGTCGCACTGTCGACCGCCAATCCTTTGCACTGTTTCTGGTGATACTAAATGCAAACCTTCACGGCTTGTCCCGTCTAACCGTATTGGACCAAGACTTACCATAAGTCGCGGAGTTACGAGTTAAGATTTATTGTTTAGGGTTTAAGATTATTTTTACGACTCACTTGTTTTTCAAGAGCAGTCACGTATACAGAGTTTTTAAGATAATTCTCAGCCAATTAGGGCTTACAATGAAAATATAAGAGTTAATAATGAAACAGTCATTTTCTATGACTAAAATACAAATAATTCTTATGATTAATAATTTGTGAAACACTACTAATAATTAAATTCTAATAATCAATACAAAAGTTTTTATAGAAATACAAAAATTAAATGAATTTTAAGTAATCGTGAAAACCGATTACAACATATATATCGTGCGGGAAATGTATTATTTCTTGAACGGATTATCCAATCCTTAATCACTCTCCAAGGTATTATAGTCCCAACTTACCGGTTTAAAAAATATACTATAGCCCATATAAATTCACCATGATAACGGCGTAATTAAGCTTTGCAAAAAACGTTTCAGAATTCTTTGATTTAATTTGTATTGAAAATAATTCACAATATAAATAATACTGTGATTTACGATTCAATGTATTTCCTTTGAGAAATAAAAATGGGAACTATTTTTACGAAGCCAAATTACGCAGTTATCATGGTCAATTTATATGACATATAGTATATTTTTAAAAACCGGTTGGGGCTATAAAATCATTAATATAGATTAAGGACTGTATAGATTAATTTCCCGTACGGTAGTTAAGTTAGTTCGCGGGGCGTATATACGAATACATTGTTCATCATAATAATGAGATCGCAATGATAAGTAACGGCAATATTATGGACCACATCCATGAGTGGACACCACATAAGTCGTCGGAAACTTCGTTGGAGTCCTCCTCTAGTGTTCCCTACAAACAGCTTAACGGACAGACGGGTCACGAGGCAGACCACCACAACCACCACAACCACCACAACCACAACCGCCTCCACAATCNGTCTGAGGGCTTTGTACGCCTGGACGTAGAAATGTCGGCCACCGATGAACTGGACGGGCGTCGAGAGGGCCAGTAGTATGAGGTTCTCCAGCGATAGGCCCGGTATTAGACAACACATGAATTCATGGGAATTACTAAACGTCGGCATTATATACATGAAGAACAACATTACAAACATGGTCGGAACGCCGAATATCAGCGAAAATATGAAACTATTCCTCCACTTCCGTATCTCTTCGCGCATCGCGTCGTCAGTGGAACTGCCCTTTGAATCGGTCACCGGATATGCGGTGAACCCTCGGGACAGGCCTTCTATGCATTTAATAAGACCTCGGGGTCCGACCAGTTGCGGGTCGTAAACCACTTTCGCTGTCTGTGTGTCGAAAGATATGTCGACTCTTTTGACACCAAATTGTTTTAGTATCTCTTTATCGATTAAATCGACGTCCGATTGGGAACTGATTCCCAGGATATGAAGTGTTATATCGTGTAGTGATTGAGCCGTTTCTGTCTCGAGAACCGTTGCCTCGTATCCCATATCACTGACAATGTCTGCGATCTTTTGCGGTGATATCACTCGCGGATTGTATTCAATGTCTCCCTTTTGGGCCA